ATCTTGTGGTTTGTTTTTGTTTTTTTACTTCAACTGAGAATGCCCCATATACAAGCAAATAATCCAGAGCTTGTTTCCCCAGTGCAGGTCTGTTTCTCTCCCACTCAACTACTTCAAGGTGGGGAGCTGGGGAAACACACCAATTCGAATGGACTCTGTGGTATCCAAACAGTCAAACTGTAGGCGTTGCTCCAGGAGATCGGCAATGAAATCCCTCCACAAACTGGGTGGTTCTGGTCAAGTAATGCTCAGTAGAGAGACCATCCTTCCACCTTCTGATGTTTGCCATGACAAAATACAGACACTCCATTGTCAACCCTGAGGGTTATTGATGGCAGACAAATAAAACATGTATTGAGTTGCAGCCCTATGCATATTTACCTGGGGATTAGCTCCAGTGACTAATGTGGGATTTAATTCTGATTAAAAATACAACTGCTTAATTTTTTAAAATGCAATTTAACTACCCTTTGACTTTTAACCTTATCCAAAAGTAGCCAAAGACCTCACTCACACTAATGGTAGCCACTGTCCTCCACATCTTGATGGAATGCAACTCTTAGGATGTCTCACCATTGGCTATGTGATGGCTAGGGATGCTGGGACCTGCAGTCCAACAAAAACTAGAGTGCTGCATGTTTCCTATCCTTGTTTCAACGGAGTCTGTGATTCTTATCACAGTAACATTCCATTTACACCAGGTGATGACAATACTGGGATTACTCCTATCTCAAATCCCAATCGATAATATGGATCAGAGTCCCCATTCTACCCATACGGAGGCATGGAAAAAGATTAGAATATCATAGAATCATAGAATCAAAAAGTTGGAAGGGACCTCATGGGCCATCCAATCCAACCCCCCTGCCAAGAAGCAGGAATATTGCATTCAAATCACCCGACAGATGGCCATCCAGCCTCTGTTTAAAAGCTTCCAAAGAAGGAGCCTCCACCACACTCCGGGGCAGAGAGTTCCACTGCTGAATGGCTCTCACAGTCAGGAAGTTCTTCTTCATGTTCAGATGGAATCTCCTCTCTTGTAGTTTGAAGCCATTGTTCCACATCCTAGTCTCCAAGGAAACAGAAAACAAGCTTGCTCCCTCCTTCCTGTGGCTTCCTCTCACATATTTATACATGGCTATCATATCTCCTCTCAGCCTTCTCTTCTTCAGGCTAAACATGCCCAGCTCCTTAAGCCGCTCCTCATAGGGCTTGTTCTCCAGACCCTTGATCATTTTAGTCGCCCTCCTCTGGACACATTCCAGCTTGTCAATTTTTCTCTTGAATTGTGGTGCCCAGAATTGGACACAATATTCCAGATGTGGTCTAACCAAAGCGAATAGAGGGGTAGCATTACTTCCCTAGATCTAGAAACTATGCTCCTATTGATGCAGGCCAATATCCCTGCTACAGTTATGACAGCTTCAAGGCGTAACTGGTCTGCATAAATTTGCATGTGTGCCATTAAAATTTAAAAGCAATCTGACAATTATTTCAGATTAATTAATACAGAATTTAACAATACAATCTTGTACATGTGTACTTAGTAAATCCAACTGAATGTAACTAGACTAAGGTTTAATTAAAGAGATATAGGTTACTTATTCTTTTAATGAGCTCAATGTTCCAGTTTAGTAATATCAGAATAAAATCATTTCTTCATATCTTTACATCCCTCCAGAATAATGAGACCTTAATGCTAATTCTACTACAATGTGAAATCACTACATGACCTCGGAGAAACAATTATATATAAGATTTAAAGTTTCTGGTCTGAAAAAAGGGAAAGGGGTGCAATTAGAAGTAACCAACCTCACAGGGCAGTTGTGACAATAAGCAAGAAAAGAAATCTGTTGACAAGAAAATGGTACTGATTATCAGTTGGGCTTCCCAACAAGTAGATGGAAAAAGAATCACAGCTGAAGACATTTTGGACATTACAGCTAAATTTCCTCTTGGATGCATGGCTGACAGCCCTTCCAATCAGAATGTTTGCATACTGAAACATCAAAAAGTAAATAGGTTGCAGACAATTTTGATATTTGGAATATTTCAGGTTTTAGAATTTCAGAAAAGGGAAGCTCAACCCATATATCTGAATCTGAATCCCAAAGTGAACCAATTAGAAATTTAAAAAACACGGATATTCAATTCAAAATACGGAAACATGCTTAATAATACACCTTATGTGTGTAAGTGCCTTCAAGATGCCTGTGGACTTTTGGCGACCTTGTGAATTTCATAGGGTTTTCTTAGACAAGGAATACTTAAGAGGTGGTTTTGACAGTTCACTCCTCTGAATTGTAAGCTGGATATCCCTTATCCAATAACCCTTCAAAATTGCTGAGACAGTAACACTTTTGCCCATTATTCAATGTGTACAAGCTTCGTTTGACACACCAAATTCTTAAATACAATATTTATAAAATTACTTTCAGGCTATCTGTATAAGAAACATCAATACATTTCTTGATTAGATTCCATAGCACTAAACCATGGCAGTTAAAATGATGTCAATCTGCATCCATTCTCGCTTTGCTTTGTGGTGTTGTTAGCAGCATTTTAAACATACACCTGGGTTTATGTTTATGTATTCAATCTTTTACAACATTATTTAATTTTTAATATTAAATACATTTAACCCATGGGTTTTAAATTTGCTGTCTTTTATTATTTGTACCATGCATTTTAATATGTGTGATTTTAAAAATAGAAATGTGTTTTAATACATGCATCATGTATTTGTTGATGATGCATTTTAACTGTTGTGCCCTGCTTCAACACATGGGTAGAGGAGGGGAGCAAATAAAGCATTGTTTTTATTCTTATTAACTATTTACAACATTATTTATTTAAGTAACATTGAATGTATTAGTAAAAGTAAAGGTAAAAGTTTACCCTGACATTAAGTCTAAGTGTGTCCAACTCTGGGAGGTGGTGCTCATCTCCATTTCTAAGCTGAAGAGCTGCTGTTGTCCATAGACACCTCTAAGGTCATGTGGCCAGCATGACTGCATAGCGCGCCATTACCTTCCCACAGAAACAGTACCAATTGATCTACTCACATTTGATCGTTTTTTAATTGCTAGGTTAGCAGAAGCTGGTCCTAACAAAGGGGGCACTGAATGTGTTACTCCTTAATATTTTAAAATATTCATTTAATATTTTATGATTAAACAGATTGATACATCTTACTATATTTGATGCAATTATTATTATTTAATATTTGCAGCATCATTTATTTAATATTTAATAATACGTTATTTAACATTTGACATATAATTTAATACTTCATAATTAAACTATTATTTAATATTTACAGCCTTGTTTACTTATTTAATATTTAACAACAATAATAATCATATGTGACTTGGTATTTTAAAGCATGGTGTCATATTTCAAAATTGAATTAGTATTTACAATCTCGTTTCTTTATTTAATATTTAACAATTTAATATTTAACAATAATAATAATCATCATCATCATCCGTGATTTGGTATTTTAAAGCATGGTGTCATATTTCACAATTAAATTAGTATTTACAGCCTCATTTATTTATTTAATATTTAACAACAACAACAATAATATGCACTTAGTATTTTAAAGCATGGTGTCATATTTCAAATTAATATTTACAGCCTTGCTTATTTAATATTTAACAATAATAACAATAATAATAATATGCACTTAGTATTTTAAAGCATGGTGTCATATTTCTTATTAACTATTTTCCAGGTGTGGACTGAACCAAAGCAAAATAATGCTACCCCTCTATTCTGCTTTGGTCAGGCCACACCTGGAATATTGTGTCCAATTCTGGGCACCACAATTGAAAGAGATATTGACAAGCTGGAATGTGTCCAGAGGAGGGCGACTAAAATGATCAAGGGTCTGGAGAACAAGCCCTATGAGGAGCGGCTTAAAGAGCTGGGCATGTTTAGCCTGAAGAAGAGAAGGCTGAGAGGAGATCATGATAGCCATGTATAAATATGTGAGAGGAAGCCACAGGGAGGAGGGAGCAAGCTTGTTTTCTGGCTCCCTGGAGACTAGGACGCGGAACAATGGCTTCAAACTACAAGAGAGGAGATTCCATCTGAACATGAGGAAGAACTTCCTGACTGTGAGAGCCGTTCAGCAGTGGAACTCTCTGCCCGGAGTGTGGTGGAGGCTCCTTCTTTGGAAGCTTTTAAACAGGGGCTGGATGGCCATCTGTCAGGGGTGATTTGAATGCAATATTCCTGCTTCTTGGCAGGGGGTTGGACTGGATGGCCCATGAGGTCTCTTCCAACTCTTTGATTCTATGATTCTATGATTTCACAATTAAATTAGTATTTACAGCCTTACTTATTTATTTAACATTCAACACTAATAATAATAATAATAACATGCACATAGTATTTTAAAGCATGGTGTCATAATTAAATAGTACTTACAGCCTCACTTATTTAATATTTAACAATAATAATAATGATAATAATATGCACTTGGTATTTTAAAGCATGGTGTCATATTTCAAAATTAAATTAGTCTTTACAGCCTCGCTCATTTATTTAATATTTAACAACAACAATAATAATAATAATAATATGAACTTAGTATTTCAAAGCATGGTGTCATATTTCATAATTAGTCTTTACATCCTCGTTTCTTTATTTCATATTGAACCATAATTATATGTGACTTAATATTTGAAAGCATCGTTTAACATTTCGCCATGAAACCTGTATTTGTATCTATTTGATTTCGAGAAGGGCAGCCAGGAAGGGTGGGAAGGCCGGCTTGGAGAGGGCGAGTCCTGAGGGAGGGAAGGAAGGGAGGGAGGGAGGCCTTTGGGGGCCCTTCCCTCAGAGCTGCCCCTCTTTGCCTTGGGCCCATCCATCCATCCATCCATCCGCTTTGGACCTCTGGCGAGAGAGAGGCGAGGACTGGCTGGCTGGCTCCCTCCTTGGGCCTCTCTCCCTCCCTCTCCGGCACCCCCCGCGCCTCCAGCGTGTCCCACCTGCGGCCCATGGCTCCTCCCGGCCGGCCGGCCCCCCGCCTGCCTTCGCCCAGATGCTGCTGCTGCTGCTGCTGCTCCCCCGGCGGCTGCTCTGCCGCTCTTCCCCCGCCGCCGACTTCGGAGCCGCGCCTCCCTCGAGCGCCACTGGGCGGGACTTCCGGCAGCACACAACGCCACCTACCGGCCCGGAAGACTCCCTTTGGAGTGCATCCTTACATTGTGGAGCAGCCCTGGGCAAACTTGGGCCACAGTCCAAAACACCTGGAGGGAAGGCCCAAGTTTGCCCATCCCTGATTGTAGGACAGCCCAGCAAGAGATAATCTGTTTTCCACTTTCTCCAGCAAACGACTGGGCACCACACTTGAAGAGAGATGCTGACAAGCTGGAATGGGGACTAAAATGATCAAGGGTCTGAAGAACAAGTCCTATGAGGAGCGGCTTAAAATGCTGGGCATGTTTAGCCTGAAGAAGAGAAGGCTGAGAGGAGACATGGTAGCCATGTATAAATATGTGAGAGGAAGTCATAGGAGGAGAGAGCAAGCTTGTTTTCTGGAGACTAGGACTGTGCAGAAGTCATTGTTATTATGTTTGTGTTTAACTGTTAAGAGTATTATTTATTTATTTATTTATTTATTTGCTTCATTTTTATACCGCATTTTTCAGCCCTTAACAGGCGACTCAATGCGGTTTACAGTGCAATTAAAACACAACAATGCAACAACAGGATCGACAACGTCGATCCACAACAATTAACAATCAGACAGGACAAATCAACAAACAACATATATAACGCCTCAGTTGAAATCAGATCCGTTCTCATAGTCGTTGTGCCGTTCCTATGTTCCATTTACCGTCTTCCTTGATTAGTTGCATTGCTTAGCCAAACGCTTGTTCGTAAAGCCAGGTCTTGACCATTCTCCGAAACGTCAGCAACGAAGGTGCCTGTCTGATGTCTGCCGGCAAGGCATTCCATAGCCGAGGGGCCACCACTGAGAAGGCCCTGTCTCTCGTCCCCGCCAAGCGCGCCTGTGACGCAGGCGGGATCGAGAGCAGGGCCTCCCCAGACGATCTTAATGTCCTAGTCGGTTCATAGGTGGAGATGCGTTCGGAGAGGTAAGCAGGGCCAGAACCGTTTAGGGCTTTATAGGCTAAAGCCAGCACCTTGAATTGTGCCCGGTAGGATTGGCAGCCAGTGGAGCTGGCTCAACAGAGGAGTGGTATGCTCCCTGAGTGCCGCTCCTGTTAGCAACCTGGCTGCCGAGCGCTGGACCATCTGAAGCTTCCGGGCAGTCTTCAAGGGCAACCCCACGTAGAGCGTGTTGCAGTAATCAATCCGGGATGTAACCAGAGCGTGGACTACCGTGGCCAAATCAGACTTCCCAAGGTACGGGCGCAGCTGGCGCACAAGTTTGAGTTGTGCAAATGCTCCCCTGGACACCGCCGAAACCTGGGGTTCCAAGCTTAGCGAAGAGTCCAGGATCACACCCAAGCTGCGAACCTGCGTCTTCAGGGGGAGTGTAACCCCGTCCAACACAGGCTGTAACCCTATACCCTGTTCGGCCTTTCGACTGACCAGGAGTGCCTCTGTCTTATCTGGATTCAATTTCAATTTGTTCGCCCTCATCCAGACCGTTACAGCGGCCAGGCACCGGTTCAGGACCTCGACAGCCTCCTTAGTAGCATGTGGAAAGGAGTGACAGAGTTGGACATCATCTGCGTACAGATGACACCGCACCCCGAAACTCCGGATGATCTCACCCAGCGGCTTCATGTAGATATTAATCAGCATGGGGGACAGTATAGAGCCCTGTGGAACCCCACAGGTCAAAGGCTGTGGAGGTTGAACAGGAGTCCCCCAATAACACCTTCTGGGTGCGGCCCTCCAGAAATGACCGGAGCCACTGCAAAACAGTGCCGAGGCCCATTTCCGCAAGGCGCCCCAGAAGGATACCGTGGTCGACGGTATCGAAGGCCGCTGAGAGGTCCAGGAGCACCAACAGGGACACACTCCCCCTGTCTAGCTCCCGGCGCAGATCATCCACTAAGGCGACCAAGGCTGTCTCGGTACCATGTCCCGGCCTGAAACCAGACTGTGCCGGATCTAGATAATCAGTGTCTACCAAGAATACCTGGAGTTGTGAGGCCACCACACGTTCCAGGACTTTGCCCAAAAAGGGAAGATTGGAAACAGGCCGATAGTTTACGAATTGAGTGGGATCCAGTGATGGTTTTTTCAACAGCGGTTTTATCACAGCTTGTTTTAAGCTGGCTGGAATTTTGCCTTCCCGAAGGGAGGCATTAACCTAGAGTATGTATTTGTGTTGGTAACAGTAGCTAAAACTGGAGTCATCTGGTTTGAATCCACAGTGAGCGTTGCCAAGGAGACGAGGCTGGCTAGCTCATGAGAGGGAGGAGTGGGCAGAGCCAAGCAGGAAAAGTTATGTGCGTTTTTTAAAAAGGCCAGAGAGTGAGGCTTGAAAAGGCCTGAGAGAGAGACTTGTGTGTGAGCGGCTGGTGTTTTATCAGTCTAGGAGGGCTGAAGAAAGAAACCTGGCCAGATTCTTTAGTCAAAGAAGACTTAAGGAAGCCTGGTTAAGATCCCTAGTTAAGGAAGGACTAGAGATCAGAGATTTGATCGAGGGAAGATCAAATTGAAAGGCTAATTATAGTAGTGAAACATTGTTCACTAGAGAGCTTCACCTCAGTGAAAGTTAGCCACAAGCTGTGTTATCTGGAAGAGTGGACTGTATTATAAACCATGTGATATTCAAAGTTCTATAAGTTATTTAACAGCCTGCAACTATAAGCTTTGTACACAATAAACTTGTTATCTTTTGTTGAAAACTGTCTCATCTCAACTAATCTGCGTCTGTAGAGCCAGATCTCATCGGTGGTACCTCAAATACCTCACGTTGGTGGCAGTTACCTTAATTTACTAATAATAATTGGCCTCCTCCATAATATACTCTTCTACACAATTGAGGCCTGAGGTAAATTCCCTCCATAACATCCACATCTGTACAATTGGTGGCAGCGGTGAGATTAAAAAGTGCCTAAGGTAAAATACTTCCATTATTAGGGCCTGCGGTTGCCAATCTCAGCAACACACAAGCACCTCCTCGCAATTGGTGATAGCGGTGGGGATCTTCAAAGATAAAATCCCTATACCCTGTCCATCGTTGAGTTCACATCTTCCCAAGGACGCAGAACAATGGCTTCAAACTACAGGAAAGGAGATTCCACCTGAACATTAGGAAGAACTTCCTGATTGTGAGAGCCGTTCAGCAGTGGAACTCTCTGCCCCGGAGTGTGGTAGAGGTTCCTTAGAATCATATAATCATAGAGTTGGAAGAGTCCAACCCCCTGCTAGAAGCAAGAAAATCACATTCAAAGCACCTCAGACAGATGGCCATCCAGCCTCTGTTTAAAAGGATCCTCCACCACACTCCAGGGCAGAGAGTTCCACTGCTGAACGGCTCTCACAGTCAGGAAGTTCTTCCTAATGTTCCAAATAACATTCCTTCTTTGGAAGCTTTTTTTGGAAGCTGTATTTCTGGCATTGCAGGGGGATTGGCCGGGGACTGCTGGAAGAACACTTTGGTTTTCTCAATGTTCAATGAGAGGCCAAGCTTCTTGTATGCTTCTGCGAAGGTGTTTAGAATGGCTTGTAGGTCTTCTTCTGAATGCACACAGGCTGCGTTATCATCAGCATATTGAAGTTCTATAACAGATGTTGTGACCTTGATTTTGGCTTTCAGTCTGCTAAGGTTAAATAGCTTGCCATCTGTCTGACAGATGATTTCCAATCCGGTGGGAAGTTTCCCATCAACAAGATGAAGTATCATAGCAATGAAGATTAGGGAAGATTTGTAGTTTAGGGAAGAACCTTTAACAGCCTCACTAAACTACAAACCCCAGACTTCTGCAGGAGGCAGAAACCAGATTTTTAGTGGATTCATTCTCTAGTGTGATGAGGTTGTAGGAGTTGTTTGTAAGTTGGATGTTTGTAACTCAGGGATTGTCTGTATGCAGGTTTCCTGATAAGAAGGGAAACATTTAGGAATCAAAATGCGCAGACACACACACACACACACACACACACATATATATACAGACAAGGAGGCTGGATGGCCATCTGTCAGGGGTGATTTGAATGCAACATTCCTGCTTCTTGGCAGGGGGTTGGACTGGATGGCCCATGGGGTCTCTTCCAACTCTTTGATTCTATGATTCTAGGAGTGCATCTACATTAGGAATGTAGTTTGACTCCACTTTGACTGCTGTGGCTCAGTGTTATGGAATCATGGCACTTGTAGTTTTACAAGGTCTTTAGCTTTCACTGCCAAAGACTGCTCGTGCCTCACCAAACTACAACTCTCATGACTCACAGCATTGAGCCATGGCTGTCAAAGTGGAGTCAAACTGCATTCATTCTACAGTGTTGATCAGGCATGGGCAAATTTTGGTCCTCCAGGTGTTTTGGACTCCAACTCCCACAATTCTTAACAGCCAGGACAAATTTTGGCCCCCCAGGTGTTTTGGAAAGTCCAAAACACCTGGAGGATCAAAATTTGCCCATGTCTGGCGTAGATGCACCATGTGAAAATATGTGGGTCATTTCTGACAACGTGCCTGAAAGAAACAGATACATCTCTCCATACTATTAAAACCTTGCCATTTTTCTTACATTATCATTTCCTCGATAAAGTATGTCATCCAAAATTTCCCATTCATGGCCACTTATGCTCATTCATCCCAAGTATTGCAATGTGTATGCATTCTATTTCTTATTTTATTCCATCACTTTCCTCTAATCCATGCTTCTCACATGCCATGTTTCTATAATATATGATGTGTCACTTTGGACTTTCCTTTCCCCTCTGACAGGCATGTCAGTAGTTCAGGGTTCTTTCTGATGGAGTTCATTTGTGTCATTAGCTACAGTGCTACACGTAATTGTCCTCTGCTGTATCCCAGCAGCTTGTTGAGTACTTTCCAACTTGGGAGTGTCCTCTTCTGGTACTCTTTTGTTTAATTTTGGATTGTTCTATCATAGGATTAGTAGCCCTCGGTGATGCAATGGGTTAAACCCTTGTGTCAGCAGGACTGTTGACCAAAAGGTCAGTGGTTTGAATCCGGGGAGTGGGATGAGCTCCCTTCTATCAGCTCCAGCTTTTCATGTGGGGACATGAGAGAAGCCTCTCACAGGATGGTAAAACATCCGGGTGTCCCCTGGGCAACGTCCTTTCAGATAGCCCATTCTCTAACAGAAGCAACTTCCAATTTCTCAAATAGCTCCTGTTATGAAAAAAAACAAATCCATAGGGTTTACATGGTAGAAGACATATGTCTCTTTCTGTGCAATACCAACAAGCTTTAGCTACCGTGATTGTCTCTGAGAGATCCTCTGCCAGGACCACCTCTTTCAAGTACTGCTGCCACACGGTTCCTCACTGGCATATTCAGTCTGGCTTTTGAACAGAAACCTGACATTGGGGAGCCAACCCATAGAAAGGGCTGCCACTAAAAAAGCATCTTGTCTCAAAACAGCATTCAGTTGTAATGTATTTAAAAACACAAAGTTTTTAAAAAAACTTGGTATTATATTAAATGTCCTTTGACCAGTAGCTGGCCACTTGGAGTGCCTCTGATGTTGCTATAAGAAGATTCTCCATTGTGCATATGGCAGGGCTCAGATTGCATTGTAGTAGGTGATCTGTGGTCTGCTCCTCTCCACACTCGCATGTCGAGGACTCCACTTTGTGGCTCCATTTCTTAAGATTGGCTCTGCATCTCGTGGTGCCTGAGCGCAGTCTGTTCAGTGCCTTCCAAGTCACCCAGTCTTCTGTGTGACCCGAAGGGAGTATCAGCCATGGATTGAGTTTCTGGGTTTTAACCTGCCACTTTTGGACTCTTGCTTGCTGAGGTGCTCCTGCAAGAATCTCTGTAGATCTTAGAAAACTATTTCTTGATTTAAGGTGTTAACGTGCTGGCTGGTATCTGAACAGGGGATGGGCCTGAGATGTCACTGCCTTGGTCCTTTCATTATTGGCTGTTATTTCCTGACAGATATCAAGAGGTGCAATACCAGCAAAACACTGTAATTTCTCCAGTGGTGTAGGGTGCAGGCATCTTGTGATAATGCGGCATGTCTCATTATGAGCCACATCCACTGTTTTAGCATGGTGAGATGTGTTCCATACTAGGCATGCATACTCAGCAGCAGAGTAGCAAAGCGCAAAGGCAGATGGGTCACTAAAAACATAGTCTGCTTGAAGGCACAGAACAACAAAAAGTTTCATGAAGTAAGGAGCAATGAGAGGAACATGGACCTACTGGAATATGCCAATCTTGACTCCTCCTTCTCACAAGCTGTAAGCAGTTAATAAATACTCACTGTATTTCCTGAAGATTTGCTATCACAAGAAACTGCAATTCATAGCAACCACAAGGTGGCAGCACAATTTAAGCCAATTCACCCAACAAATCCATATTTGACAAATGCTCTTTTTGAAAGTGTACACTCTTCTTGGAGAAGACAATTATGCTGGGGAAGGTGGAAGGTAAAAGGTACAGGGGCCGACCAAGGGCAAGATGGATGGATGGCATCCTTGAAGTGACTGGACTGACCTTGAAGGAGCTGGGGGTGGTGACGGCCGACAGGGAGCTCTGGCGTGGGCTGGTCCATGAGGTCATGAAGAGTCGGAGACGACTGAACGAATGAACAACAACAACAACACACTCTTCTTGCAGACTAACCCCTTAAAACAGCCCAACTGCTTATGGTTATTTCTATACAGAAGCACCCTATGCACTATGGTTCAAACCTACATTGCTTACTTACTTACTTAGGCGATCCATCGTTGGACGACTAGGATAGTCTTCCATGATCTGTAATCTTGTGGATCCTTAGGTGACTGTGCAGCCCTATTCTTGACCCTCACCTTCTCCCGCAGTGAGGGGATTGGTTTCCAGGTGGAAGGCAGTCTCGGTCGGGGTTGGCTTGATGCGTCTTCCTCCTTTCTCTTTCACCCTCCATTCGTGCCTCTTCAAATTCTGCAGCACTGCTGGTCACAGCTGACCTCCAGCTGGAGCGCTCAAGGGCCAGGGCTTCCCAGTTCTCGGTGTCTATGTCAGAGATTTTAAGGTTGGCTTTGAGCCCATCTTTAAATCTCTTTTCCTGTCCACCAACATTCCGTTTTCCATTCTTGAGTTCGGAGTAGAGCAATTGCTTTGGGAGACGGTGGTCGGGCATCCGGACAACGTGACCAGTCCAGTGGAGTTGATGGCGGAGGACCACCGCTTCAATGCTGGTGGTCTTTGCTTCTTCCAGCACGCTGACGTTTGTCCGCTTGTCTTCCCAAGAGATTTGCAGGATTTTCCGGAGGCAGTGCTGACGGAATCATTCCAGGAGTTGCATGTGACGTCTGTAGACAGTCCACGTTTCGCAGGCATATAGCAGGGTTGGGAGGACAATAGCTTTATACCCAAGCACCTTGGTATCCCTACAGATGTCCTAGTCCTCAAACACTTTCTGCTTCATTCGAAAATATGCTGCACTCTCAGGGCTCAGGCGGTGTTGTATTTCGGTGTCAATGTTGATTTTGGTGGAGAGGTGGCTGCCAAGGTAGCGGAAGTGGTCAACATTTTCTAATGTTTCACCATTAAGCTGTATCTCTGGCACTGGAGAGGGACTGGCTGGTGACTGCTGGAACAGCACTTTGGTTTTCTTGATGTTCAATGACAGGCCGAGCTTCTCGTATGCTTCTGCAAAGGTGTTTAGAGTGGCTTGTAGATCTTCTTCCGAATGCGCACAGACGACATTGTCACCAGCATGCCTACCTTGCACTCCCACCTTGTTATACAAGGTGAAGATCTCTCAGAGGCACTAAAAAAGTTTTTGACCAAAGGAGCTGTTTTTCAGAATAATAACTACCATGCAGTTGCAAAATCATATGTTTTTCCAGTTTAAGAACTTTATTTTGGTCTTAAGAAAATATAAAATTATGGGGTGGAGGGGGAATGACCAGGAGGGGAGAAAAGAGAAGCAAAGGTTTCAAGCTGGAGCATGATACAAAAAAACAAACAGACATTTCGTGGACAATTGTATGTAAAGTTGCTGCTGCTTCTAGTTCTGTCTCTTACAAACAGAGAAGGAATGAAGGAATGAAAGTAAGGAGGAAGGAAAGAAGGAAAGATATGCTTATGACATCCCAACTGATTGCGCCATCTGGGACTTGCCACATTACAAAGGGCAGCTCCCAGGCAGCAAACGGAGGGAGGGAACTGGGAAATTCCCCCCCTTTGGAGCAAGGTTTACATGTAAGCAACTTTCATTCCTGTCATTCATTGACCTAAATGCACCTCTCATCAGCTGCAGAAAGGCTTTATTCCCTCCCCAGGATGGACCGCAATAACCATCAACAGGGAAAATGTATATGGAAGCATCACAATTCTGAGTCCCCGTATTATTTCCAAAACATGTTTTTGTAGTTATCTCTTGACAGGTGGTTTTGGATTACGAAACCTGACCACCCAGTGACTGAGGTCAACAGTTTAAAACCTGAAGTAAGCGTTCTAGTTGCTAAGAGTTGAGATGTAGCAAGTAGTTCCTTTAAAATGTTTCCCTCTTCTATGGTAAGACAAGCTGGAAGCATTATCCCCTGTGGCTTGTCATACATCTGCTGCATCCTTATGTTCAACACGAACAACAGCAAGGAGCCCCCAGTGCCAGCAGGATTACTGACAGACAGATCAGTGGTTCGAATCCGGGGAGAGCACATTGAGCTCCCTCTGTCAGCTCCAGCTCCCCATGCAGGGACATGAGAGAAGCCTCCCACAAGGATGGTAAAAAACATTAAACATTTGGGCGTCCCCTGGGCAACTTCCTTGCAGATGGCCAATTCTCTCACACCAGAAGCGACTTGCAATTTTCTCAAGTCGCTACTGACACGAAAAAAGCAAGGTACAAAATGACATTCTATAATCTCTGTCGAAGAGGGACAGCCCCTGCCATTTCCCTTCTCTTCATGAACTTTACCTTCAGTTACATGTGCCGGAGGGAAGTGCAGTATTTGAAAGACAGAATTTCAATAAGTTAGAATTTTCCTGTGCAGCACAGCTAGAAAACCCAAACAGTGCTCAAGCAAAACAGGACCTTCCTTGGGTCACTCCTGAAGAACACTGTTTTCTCATATGACAGACTCCTGAGATCATTCTTATTCCCATAGGTTATGTCTGTCCCAGAAGCAGCATTGAAATGAGGACAATTTCTAATCCTGTAATTCTGTTTGTGAGGGTTTTCCTCCATAGGAGGCAACACATGAGAGTTGAAGCTATTCTGAATTTGGACACTGCATCTAGAAGCCTGGCGAACAATGCAGCCTTAGCATGAACTACTGACGGAAACAAGCAGTAGCAGTTAGGTCAGAAAAATGGGTAGAGAAAAAGTATCTTCAAAACGAAAATGCTAAAGACTGGAACAACCCCTCCTGGCAGATTTCCATCATTGGCTTAAGCTGGGACACAGAGAGAGGGAGAAGAACGAGGTTTATGCTTCCCTCTATTCACTGCATAGTCAGGAAAAATAGTCATCCTCTTAAGACTTCTGTCTCTCATAATTATGACACAATGCAAGCATAGCAAATATAGGCCAGTCTTTAGTCCTTCAAAAACAAGACTCATCCATGTCACTATCCAGGGATCAAACCCATGAGAGCAGCTTTCTCTTGCAGGAGCTCCCACAATTCTGCATACTTTTCAAAATTGTCTGAAGAAGTACAAAGGCTTGCTTTCTGAAGCAAAGGGAACTGTTTACTAGCAGTCCAGTTCTGCTGTTGTTAACAGGAAGTGGATCGTGGTCCACCTCCCATATGATTCACTATCAACCTTCAAACTCTTGGGATGCTTAACTGGAGCACACCACAGGCTTCCCTGAGATCTTCAGGTCATCAAAGGGCAAAAGTGTCAGGATCTGCAAAGGCAAAAAGGAATGAATGTGAAGTTAGCATTTGAATAAAACTCTTTTAGCAGTTGCCCACCATAATATAGGAGAGTGTAGCAGCTCCTTCCAGTTTGAGAACATGGAGGTTTATTCATTTATCACACAAAAGAATGTATTTTGTGTGTATGTATTTTGTTTCGGCATTGAATTGTGCCGACTGTGTATACCGCCCTGAGTCGCCTTTGGGCTGAAATGGGCGAGATAGAAATAATGTAAATAAATAAATAAATAAATAAATAAGAACAGCAATCCTGTTCCTAACTGTGGGCAGTTCACATAATACTATATCTGATTTCTGTCTTCCTTAAAAAAGCTTGCCAGAGTGTATATTGGTTTACCTTCACAGCTATCTTGCAGGGTACGTTAGGCTGAAAGCATATAAGCCCAAGGTAATACACATTTATGATCTAATGATGATGTGAACCCATTTCTCTCAAGTTCAATGCTAATTGCTTCCTGCAACACATGAGCAGAGCATGGTGACCATGCTCTCTCAAATATAGCAGGGTTAACAGAGTGGGAGAGAAAAGACTTTAATTCCATGTCTATTCATCTGTGAATTTTCCAAGCATGGTTAATGCTATGTGTTGGTAAAGAAAACATGCACAAGCCAGCCATCCGAGTAAATATATATTGCCTCATCTTGACCTACATGTCACCCTGGCTTTGTTTAGGTCCTCGCCTCGCCAAACAAGAATGGAGGTCACTACTAGATGCCTTTACTGCAAAAAAAAAAATGCTGCAGACTTTCTACTTCTACTCCACCTTTTCCATTTGATTACCATCCATGATGCTGCAATAGGGCGATGTGCCACAAAGGCAGACTAGCTAGTTTAGCAGCTCCTCCCTTCTGGATGGACTTACAGATAAAGATCAAATCCATCTGTACACAGCAAACTGTATGTATTAAGATCAGCAGGGAAAGTGAATTGCAAGCTCTGTTGATGGGGTACCCTCTGCCAAGAGAACTGCCACACCTAGCATACGCTCGGCCTTGCTTCTACGTTGCTCAACCCTCTCCCCAACAATGCCTTCATTTGGAGACACACAGAGATTCTCACATCATCATTGCCATCAGCCAGGTCCTGGGCTGTCTCATCCTCCATGTTGCGCAGCAAGGTGTCAGCTCCTGAATGGCAGAGAACGGCAGCAATTGTAGTATCCTTCCTGCCCACAGCCAGATGCAGCGGAGTGCAACCATTGTACATCTGAGCATCCACCTGGGCTCCCATTCGCAGGAGGTGCTTCACGGCCATCTCATCATGGTTCTCCACAGCCAGGTGCAGGGGTGTCTTCCCACTTGTGCCATCCTGGTACCAAGAGAATAAAGCACTGGGTCAGCCATTGCAGGAAGCTTGAGAAGCAGAATCCCAAAATGACAGAATGCCCCCAGAAATGCATTTAGAAACAAAAACAGATAAAATGAAAATACCGTGCTCTTAAACCCATCTCCCAGAAGTTCCAGAAAGAATCTCAGAACAATGTTCTTTCTGAGCCTTTAAATAGCCAAGGGCTGCAAGCAACCTGCATGAATATTGAAAAGCTTAAGTGGGAACATCAACACACGGGTATTCCTGCTTTAAAATCTGGTGACTGCTCCATAGAATTGGGCAGTTTTGTAGTTTCAATATTCTAGTTTAGCAGGAGATGTTCAAGATTATACGTGATCTGCTCTAAAGAAAGAAAAATATTCTGAGAAAGGTTTTATTCTACAAAGCATAACAAGTTATACAAACCAAGTAGCTTTATATATGTGTTGTTGAAGGTTTTCATGGCCAGAATCACTGTGAGTTTTCTGGGCTGTATGGCCATGTTCAATAAGCATTTTCTCCTGACCAGAGAAGTCAGCCATAGCAGAGCACTTGATTAACCCAGACACTGCATATTATCTGAGAACACAGAAATGATGGACCACTCTAACAGCTACCATGTCAGACTACACAGAGAAGCCATTAAAATCCACAAACGTGTGGACAATTTCAACAGAAAGGAAGGAACTATGAAAATGAACAAAATATGGCTGATGGTATTAAAAAATCTAAATCAGGACAGTGAATAAAGAACAACATTCAGAAAACAGAGGAATTCCAGACATGAATCAATCAGGACCAGCTAACACCTCCTAACAAAGGATTCCCCCAGGACGTAAACAGCCAGACCTTGAAACTGAAAGGCTAATCAATGCTGGAACACTCACACCTGCCTGAAACAGACAAGAGTTCTTTCTCCCACCCTGGACATTTCACAGATATATAAATCACACTTGCATAGTTTCCAACAGACCTCACAACCTCTGAGGATGCCTGCCATAGATGCAGACAAAATGTCAAGAGAAAATGCTTACAGAACATGGTCATACAGCCTGGAAAACTCACAGCAACCTAGCCTTATATACTTTTGTCTCAACTGCATGCAAGATTTCATCTTCTTTTTAGACATAGTTAAGGACAACAAGCTATTCAAAGCCTCTGCTCATTAATTCCTGCACAAGTTCCTCTCCATGTTTCAAGAATTCACAAGACACTGCTTTCATATTTCCAGTATTATTCTTTATTTCTACAATGTCATTTTGGAACAGTCACATCACAAAATGTACAGAGAAAGTGTGGTTTAGACATCTATGTGATATTTGCCTTTGATCTCTGACATTGTTGTTTTTAAATTGTTTTAAATTGTTTTGAAATTGTGTTAGATTTTAGCCTGTTCTTGTAAGCCGCTCCGAGCCCCAGGGGAATGACGGCATATAAGTTTGAATTATAAATAAATAAATAAATATGGCGCTCTGCTTGGTATGCTTAACATACCTGAACATTAATGTCAGCTCCATTCTTCACCAGCAGTGTCATCAGTTGAAGGTTTCCTTTCAAGGTGCTGATATGTAGGCAAGTCAACCCTGAAGAAGAAGATGAGAGGGAACCTGGAGTTCAATACTCTTGCATTAACTCCAAGCACTGAATTTGCATACCGAGCTCAACATGCAACAGACACACACATACAAACACCACCCCTGATCAGTCGTTGTTCTTCCTTCCCACCTTGCCAGTTTTGAAGCTGCAGCTCCTGCGGAGCCTCCCTTGCCACCCTGTTATTGTCAGAGGTTGGTTCCTGAATCAGCAGCAGCTGAGTGCACTCCAGACTCTGCTGCTCACAGGCCAAGTGCAGGGGGGTGTTTCCACTGCGGTCCTGCAAGGCTGTGTTCACCCCTTTCAGAACTAATGCTTGCACCACCAAGGATTGCTCAAGATACACAGACAAATGAAGTGGAGTCTGCAAATGGGAAAGAAAGGGACAAAGGTTGAGAGAAACTCAGAGAGGAAAGAATAAAGTTAATAAAATGACTGGCCAAGTGTACATTGCCATACTGTAAACAACAGCCAGCAAAGTTACATTCTACTTACATTCCTACAAATAGATATCCCTGTAGTATAATGCATGTGGATCACTGCTAAATATAAATGGCTGACTACTTGTTTTTCAACTGCAATGCACAATGCAACGTGTGTCAGTAAGTGTTCTTTACTGGGCCTCTGTCTGTTTTCTTAGTGGGCATTAAGTCCTATTGTGGAATGAGCAGAAGTCCAGTGTGGAATGTGCCCTACCAATGGGCACTGGAAAAGGATCCACCCATATCCCTTTCCCTGTCTACTGGATACGAATATGGTGTAATGTCAATAAAATTATTATGTGTGTATATCACAATATATGTATGCCAACAGGATTTTGGCCACTGTATGATGAAACTTACACCACAAAGACCTAGAATTTAGCAATAGGTGTAGAACATAGTGCATTGAAAATGTCATATTGAAGAAAGAATGTAATGCTTCCAAAGATAACAGTGGGAGGCATAGCAGAATTGCCAACTGTTGCGAGCATAGGTTCTCTGCACAATCTCTTATCCCTCATGATTAAGACAAGATGATGTTTTTAAAATAGTTCTCTCAGATGTTATAATTTATATAGAAAGCAGGATAGCCAACTGGGCCATAAGAAAAATCCAGTCACCATAAGAATTCTTGATTCTGAAGATAGTAATAATAATAATTATTATTATTATTATTATTATTATTATTATTTATACCCCACCACCATCTCCCCAAAGGGGACTTGGAGCGGCTTACATGAAGCCAAGCCCAGTGATACATTACAGCAAAATAAAATATCAACAGCAGAAATCTCCACTCTAAACTTAGATTTGTCTTCATTTTACACTAGGCTCACACTTCAGTAGAAAACAAGGAGCAGCTAGACAATCTTTATATTAAGATTGTGATGATGTTCAATTCTGGGCTTATGTAAAGTAAGCCAAAAGATGCCACACTAGATAGCTTTTACTTAACGACTGAAAGGAAATAACATAAGCTGTTGAATGGAGAATGCTGATTAAGTTTTATTTTGCAACTAATGCACAACCTTAAATTTCAAATGGTGGTTGTCTGCTAGCTTTCCGTTTAAAAGATGGCATACTCTTTTATTGCTGTTTGCTGTTTCAGCAAACATGGAATGAAATCTCCTGATGCTTTGCAGATGCAGGTGATCATCTGGTGCTGTATCTACATTGCTGAATCAATGTACTTTGATACCAGTTTAACTGCCACTTATTGAATGGCCTTGCAGCTTCAAAGTCTGGCTGCTTCCTGCCCGAGTGAATTCTTTGTTGGGTGGTATTAAAAAACTCTAAAATCATGACAGGAAATAAAGAGCAACACTCAAAAAAACAGGGGAATTCCAGACAGGAATCACTCAGAGCCAATTAACACATTCCAACAAAGGATTCCCCCAGGCAGGCGCAGCCAGGTATGAAGCTGCAAGGCCATTCAATGCTAATCAAGGTGGCCAATTCCAACAGACACACCTGCCTCAAACAGACAAGAGATCTTTCTCCCACCCTGGACAGTCCACAGATATATAAACCTCAACTGCCTAGTTTCCAACAGACCTCACAACTTCTGAGGATGCCTGAAATAGATGTGGGTGAAATGTCAGGAGAGAATGCTTCTGGAACATGGCCATACAGCCTGGAAAACTCACAGCAACCCAATCTATATATGCCCACTCCATAAACATAATATTCATTCCATAAAATTAATATAAAAATGAAGCAAGACAACGTACCTGGAATAAGTCATTCTGAATCTCCAAAGCCTCAACAGGCAATTCAGCGATGCAGCAGAGTGCTATCGAGGGCACACAGTGGATGATGGCCAAGTGCAGCAACCTGAAGGAAACAAAAGAGCTTAGTTAGTGATACAATGCTTCAGCCATGCCAGCCCACAACTGTGAAGAACATACTGTCTTGAAGAAAGCAAAATGTTCCTGAAGAACAAATCCTTTGCTGATTTCTGTTCCAAGATTTTAAGTGGAAATGGGCAAATTAACGCACCAGCTTATTAGAAAACTCACTTGCGCAGATACAACCAACTCTCCATATCTACAAATCCCGCATTCTGGGAATCAACCAACCATAGTTTGAATACACACACACACACACACACACACACACACACACACACACAAACATTTCAAAAAGCAAATCTTGATTTTGCCATTTTATATAAGGGTTAGTAATTTCTTCCAGTATTATATATAACAGGATTTGTGCATCTGTATATTTTGGTATCTGTAAGGGGTTCTAGAACCAAATGACAATGGATACCCATAGATCATTCTATTATATTTATGCATGTCTCCTCCACAAAAACTTGCAAGACACTAAGGAGGCAAAACAAAATATTATTCATTTAGCCACTATGAAATAGCCGAGCATCGATCAAGAATCAGCCAATCCATATTCTGGAAGCCAGGGCCCATTCTGATAACACTTTTAGTCCATGGACTCAGTGGTTATTAATTGCTACCCATAAACTTTTCAGCATGCTACCTAATGTCTTAAAAAGTTGCAATTGTGTTTTTGTGTTTGAGCACTTTCTTTCAGATTCCTCCATGAAGGAAAAGCAGAAAGCAAAGCCCAGATGATAATATCACAGACAGGTGATAAAGGTTTTACATTATTCCTCACCAATTCTTATGCTGTCAGAACAAAAGTCTGATGGAAAACCTTACAAGAATCAGAATTCCTGGTTTGTAATTCTACCAGTCAAGGTTTCCTATCAGAATAAGTCATCAATTCCCTTCGTGGCTGGTTAGGTCCGAGAAGATTTCTGTCCCCTTTGCAATTCTCAAGTATTTCCTTGAAATTCAAAAAGCAGAAGCAAGCACCCTCATCATCATGAGGTTAGAAAATAGATTTATAAAAGCTGATGTGAGAAACAAGACTGCTGATTTGGTGACCAAGGAGGTTGACAAAACTAAGGAACACATTAATTGGGAATACTGTCAGAAATATTTAAAATTAACTAGGTATTTTTCATTACAAAAATGTGAGTCAAGCACTGAAAACGTTAAATGGATGCAATGACTCAGGAAAAGCTGCAGTTCACTATACGTAGGTGTGCCTGTAGCTTAGTACAACTCAGTGTTAGTTTCCCTCAGTCTGAGAAGCCTCAGTGGGAGAAGGCCTCAGTGGGAGAAGGCCTCAGTGGGAGAAGGGCCTCAGTGTATTAGTAGGTTTCAGTATGAGAAGGCCTCAGTATGAGAAGGTCTGGTGTAAGAAGCTTTGATGAGAGGAAGCCCCAGGTTGATGGCCATTGTGTGTGAAGGCTGTTGTGTGTAAAAAGCTCCTGTGTAACTTTGGCGTGAGAAGAGACTCTGTGAGAGTGAAGCTCTTTATCTGCATGAGAAAGAAGCCCAGTGTGGAAGCAAAGAAGGAAGTGTAAAGAAATTTGTTCGTGTTATGAAAATCTTGTTTTTGTAAATAGTACAACCATATTATTTTACTATAAAGAAAAGCCTCCTGTGGAAGAGATAACACTGGTCTGTGTGTTTTTGTTCTTTTTATCACTTTAAGCTACTGGTGCTGGGTCACGCTGCTGTTAATAAGTTACTCTGCTGTACATTTATGAAGATGGCATTTTGTTAATAAGCCCACTTGCCCAACATACTATACCTAAGATCTGAAATCATTTATACCAGGGGTCCACAAACTTTTTAAACGGAGGACCAGGTCACAGTCCCTCAAACTGTTGGAGGGCCAGGTTATAATTAAAAGAAAACATGAATGAATTCCTATGTACACTGCACATATCTTATTTGTAGTGCAAAAAAACCATTTAAATGCAATACAATAATTAAAATGAAGAACAATTTTAACAAATATAAACTTACTAGTATTTCAATAGGGAGTGTGGACCTGCTTTTGGCTGATGTAATAGGATTGCCGGATAAATGACCTTGGAGGGCTGAATCTGGCCCCCGAGCCTTAGTTTGAGGATCCCTGCTTTATACCTTTTTACTTGCATCTAGCCACCAGCTGATGGAACTAAATATAGCCACAACAGAAGACATAGATAATATAGTCAAGGTTTATCTATTGAAGATATAGTCACTCTGATAGTGTGACTAGAAACAAACAGATCATGCCATATATAAATCAACACAAAGGCAAGTTTCTAGTCATCATTGCTGTGTCATATAATACAGTGGCCAGTATATGTGGCACAGCAGGTTAAACCACTGAGCTGCTGAACTTGCTGACCGAAATGTCAGCGATTCAAATCCGGGGAGCAAGGTGAGCTTCCGCTGTTAGCCCAGCTTCTGCCAATCTAGCAGTTCAAAAACATGCAAATGTGAGTAGATCAATAGCTACCACTTCAGCAGGAAGGTTACAGCGCTCCATGTAGTCATGCCGGCCACATGACCTTGGAGGTGTCTATGGACAACACCGACTCTTCGGCTTAGAAATGGAGATGAGCACCACATCTCAGAGTCAGACACGACTGAACTTAATGTCAGGGAAAAACCTTTACCTTTACCTATCGTGTAGTATTTTGGTTTTATGTTTGTATAAAATGAATAAAATTACTATTAAAAATAGTCTTACACATAACTAGTAAGTTTATGACATATTCCAGTAACCTAACCAACTTATTCAAAATTATGATGCATTTAATATTGACTCTTTAAAAAGAAAGTTATTTTTACTGTATGTCACAAAGCACTTTTTCATTCAATGGGTTGACTAATGAAGGGGACTTCCACAAAGGTAAAGGAGAAAAGAGATCAAAAATTATGCTGGAAGCTCGAGGAAAGGGGAGAGAAATCCTGACCCCCCAAGGATTCCCCAAGGCACCAAAATGCCCAGGAATGCCCCTTGCCTGGGGGATTGTGTACTAAAGCAGGGAACAATCCCTGCTTTTTGAAAATGTGGGTTTACAGTGTGGCAGCTGGCAGCAGAAACCCTCATGGCTCCTGGGCTCTTCAGAGTGCTTGCATGCTTTATGGAACGGCTGTGGTTCAGGCAGTAGGCAAGGCCTCCGGGGAAGCCCAGGGTCACATGCGCCTGGGGAATTTCCCTGCCACCACAGTTGCCTCAGCAACAAGTATAAAAGCAGGGCCAAAGGAGAATGTGTTCAGCAACCGCTGCAGGTGGAAAGAAGGCGTCTCAGTTGCTCTTGCAGCTTATATTACCTTATTTTTTATAAAGCAGCAACAATAAAATAAAACAACAACCCCCCCCCCCCACACACACACACACACTACTTCTTAACTAACCCCCAAAGCTTCACCTTCTACATTTCCATGTTTCTGACTGATGCAGATGGCACAGGACTGTGACTAGAAGAAACAAAGCTGGCAATTACACTTCTGGAGAAGCATGTAAGGACTGGTCTGCACAGCAAAGCACCTCAACATGGGTGGGTGTTGACATATGAAAGTCATGCCAGCCTGTTTCTATTGATAGCACATGGTTAAACCACAGGTGAGATGTGGAAAAGTAGAATCGGCGAGCATAACAGCAACAGGAAATGGTGTAGAAAAAGAAGGGCATATTTCAGCCTAAAAGGTTCTATGGATAGAAACTCTCTTTTCTCTTCTCTATTAAAGTATTTTGCGTGTTAAATTCAGGTGAGTTCCTAACCTTGTTTGCACAGAGTTAAGTGTAGGCCCCAAACTTCCCACCCTTGATGGAAAGCACCTGATTTTAAGGACAACTCACTGACAAAGTTTCACTTTTGTTGTGACTTCCTCAGGAAGGTAAAGCACCTACGTCATTATATCGGTTTGTACTCACATTACTAGATCACAGAAACCGTTAATAGCCTCCCTGTCCTACATAATTATACATTGTCACTTGACAGTCTGAGAAAAAAGGAGACTGCTATCATTTACAGAAACTCCTGACAAGGCAATGAAGCAAGTGACTGCAAGCATAACTCAGCTAACAAAATCCAATCTTCCAAAGTAGTTTAAGGCCACCTAGCCTCCCTTTTCTCATCCTCTATCTAGCAGAAATGTTTGTTTTGTTTTGGACCATTTGTGTTGGGAGGATGGTGAAGGAAAGCTGAGGGAACCCAGATTTTAAGTGTTAGGTTGCAATAGCACGTCTATAAACAAAATTTGAATTTGGAAAGAGCCGCATTCTCTAATTTTACTGAAAGGAAAAAAAATCACCCTTTACATTTTGAAAGAAGCCTTCATATTGTCATTCAAAGGCTCAAAACAGCATTGTTCACTTCGGCAAAGCTTACTTGATCTGGTATTTCATTTCACATACAATATGTATATTTATAGATTTGAATAACATTTATTGAAGCAGGTTTGCCTGTTTATCTTTTTTGTGGTGCAGGAATCCTATTTTCCATGCTATTTCCATGCATCCCCTTCTTTCCGTGCTATTTCTGTACCTGGTATCAAATTTCTGTTAAAGAAATAAGGCTAAGGAACACAAATACAGTTGTGTTCCCACTACATCTGTGGTTGAGTCAACCTTCCAGGTCTGGTTATTCTTTTCAAAAAAATCTAAAAGCCAGACCTTGGTTTTGTGATTTTATTATAGCATTGCATATAATTGAACTCAAACACCCACTTTTTTTCGTGTCAGGAGCAACTTGAGAAACTGCAAGTTGCTTCTGGTGTGAGAGAATTTGCTATCTGCAAGGACGTTGCCCAGGGGATGCCCAGATGTTCTGATGTTTTACCATCCTTGTGGGAGGCTTCTCTCATGCTTCCGCATAGGGAGCTGGAGCTGACAGAGGGAGCTGATCTGCGCTCTCCCCGGATTCGAACTTGCGACCTGTCGGTCTTCAGTCCTGTCGGCACAAGGGTTTAACCCTTTGCGCCACTGGTCCACTGATTTTGATATTCATGTGGTGGTGGTCC